CCGGCCCCCGCTCGCTCCCTCGCCCGCCGCTTCCCGACTGTGCAGAAGAGGAGGGGGCGTTCCCCAGACCATGGCATCCTCTGACGGGTGAGAGGGCTTTCCTGGGAGTCGCGAGGGGGTGGCGGTCCCCCATCCGGGTTCAGGACAGAGAGGTGTCGTCGCGCCGGGCCTCGGGGATGGTGGCAGAGCGACGACGCCTTAGAGGGAGCGAGAGAGGGTTGTCTTAATTGCAGGGCCAAGGTATGATGGAGGTCTGAAAAGTGTGAAAAAAAAATCCTCTTGAAATTACTTTTGTGATTTAAAAACAATAGGGGTTGGCCAGGGTGTGTGCAGACACTGCCTTAGAAAACAGTGGGCGAGCGCGACCCTGGCTGGGAACCGGGACCCGCCGGAATGAATGAGCCGGACCACTGCCGGGGCGGGGCGAGGATCAGCGCGCGCGGCCTTGAACGCCAAGATCGCAGTCGCGGCGGAGGTTCTGCGACCCCTGGGATCCCTCCTTGACCCTGGCGGGCGGACTGGCCAGCTCCAAGGCACAGTGAAAAAGATTTGGGTGCTTCCCGGGAGGAGGCGGGAAAACTTGTAGTTTGGAGCAGGGATAAGAGTGCTGGCTTCTCTGTTTTCCCCAAGGCGCTGGAGCAGCCTCTTGCCTCCGGAGCCGACAGTTGGTATGGAGAAAGCCCTTACTGATAGGTAAAGACCGTTTGTCCTCAGAAAGAGGGAGATGAGGCTGCGAGGGGCAGAGGATCTCGTGAGTGTCTAAGGAAGGGTGTCTGGACCCTAGTCTCCCAGGAAATATTTCAGGCTTGGTAGAGCTCGGCCCCAGGATGAATGCAGAAGGTGGCACTAAGCCACTTGCAGAAGATCACTGGACTCATGTTGTGTGAAAAGTAAATACCAGGGTTGCGTCTGGGCTCAAGTGGAGAGTCTTTGGCCCTGGCTCTTTCCAGAGTTTCTGTCCTATGTTTTATCAAGTCCACAGGCTTGTTTGGGGGAATGGGCTCTCTCAGCAGGAGTGAAGAGCTGGTGTCCAAAGCCAGTATCCTGACTTCAACTTAAAACAAAGGAAAACAGTTTTAAAGCTGTCTGTGTCCAAGGGAAGGAACTGATCCTTTCTCTGTCCCCTGGAGTCCTTCCAGAGAGGTCATAATATGAAATTTCCTCTTTCTTTTTGCTCTAACAGGCTTAGCAGTGTGGACTTTTAAAATAATTATTTCTGAAAAATATTTTCAAGAAAGGGATCTGTGTAAAGAGGGAGGCAGTATCTGGTGCAAAAACAAAAAAAAACCCAGATCGTTAGAGTTAAATATTAAGAATCCATATGGCATAGCATCAGTACCTCTCCGTGTTTTATTTAAAAGGTTTTCATATTAGAAAAGATATAAAGGCTTTTCTGTCTATCCTCAAGGCCTTTCTAAACTTACCTCTGCTTGTAAAAGCTAGGTGGACGAACATCTGTAAAAAAGATGAATGATGGTCATCTGTCAAATCCTGCATCTAATGCATTCCCAAATTTGCTGGCCAGATGATGAAAGAAGAAGTTAAGACACCAAAACTTTCCAGACGGAGAGTGTATCTCACCTTTGTCCTCGGTGACAACTGCTGAATGACTGGACATTAAATATAGAGCAGAAGTAGATTTTAGTATCTCTGAAAGACTTATATTCAATAAGTGTCATCTTTGTTCGTTGTACATTGTAAGAAAAGATTGACCAAAGAAACTTGCTTTTAAAGAGGTTAAAAAACAAACAAAACCTGACAAGCTAGGAAACATATAGAAAGATCTGCGTTCCATCATTATTTAAGAGCAATAACTGATCAGCAAAAGACCCTTTCCTTCCAGGAGCATTTACTGATCCTTGTTGGGTAGAACATCCATGCTAGGCTTTAGGATGTGGGGTACAGGGACATAAATAGTCTGGGAGCTGACTTTTAGAAGCTCCAGTCCAGGACTTTTATTACTAAATTTTTCCTGTAGGGTGGTATTTCTTGGTTAATACCCCTTGTAAAGGAAACTCACCAAGATTTCCCAGGTTGGTCTTCCTTTGCTAGCCTTTGCCCTCAGGGAATATCAAAGCTATTTTTGAAAACATGCTTTATGGAGAAGTATGCCAAAAATAGTCATATAATTATAGTTTTTAATTTATGCATTTTTAATTCAACTTTGCCCTAAGATTTTACCATGGGATACTATGGTGAACGTTTTGGTTTTTCTCATGATGTAGATACCATCAACAAAGTGCATTGATTAACAATTTTTATGGAACTATTTAAAGCAACAGTAACACCTTATGCTTGTTTAGCACTTCACTTTCAAAGCATTCATGTGCATTACCATATTTGAGTGTTTTGATAATTCTATGAAGTAGACAGTCCAGTGAAAATAGACTTTAAGAATAAAACTCCATAGAATATCTTCCCAGGAGGATCCAGGACTTGATAGAGCTGTGGGGTTTTCTCTGGAAAAATCAGGTATCACTGAAGAGTGTGCTGGGCTAGTTGGGGCAGAAGATAACTACCTTGGTCTCAAATATTTGGTATGTACACCTACAGGTTGCCTTTTAGAATATTTCCTTTATAACGTATGTACTTGCTCTTGGTCTTTTGAAAACCAAACTTGCCATACTCACCAATCTGGCTGCTTGAAATTTCTGATTATCTGGACTTGAGATTATGAATTTCCAGTTTCTGTAAAAAATCAACAGTGTCTCTTTAGTAGTTCCCAGATGTGAAGAAGTGTTTTCTTATAAAGCAAGGTCTAATTTGATTGTTGAACATTCTCTTTTATTTATTTTTATTTTTATTTTATTTTATTTTAGCACCTGAGATTAAACTCAGGACCTTGCAGTTGCAAGCCAGGCAGATGCAGGGCCACTGAGCTAAACACCCAGTTGAACATTCCTTTTTTGAGTTTCCTCTTGTAGCTGGAATCACTGAGATAACTTTGAGGTCCTTGACCCAGATTAGAAAGAGAGTATAAGCAGTGGCTGGTAGATAGACCAGTGTCTGTTACCGAGTGAGCTGCAGTGGAGTGTTCAGATGCTGGAGAGGCAAGGATTTTAGAAATGCATTTTCAAGGGGGAGAACAGCTAGGTCACTACAATATTGCAGAGATTCGAGACTTGTTATTAGGTACCAGGAGCCAAGGTGCCAAGGTCAAGGCCAATCATGAGGGCTTGGGTTTCATTTTGACCTAGAATGTGACATAGAAAATTATGGACAGCTCAAGACTCTGGGGAAGGAGACCCCTGAATTTATAATTCCAAGCAAAGAAAAGCAAAAGGTAACACTGGCCTCCTCTTTCCCCCCGGGGAATGAAGTTGGGGTCAGCTGGAAGAAGAACCCATGGAGTGGGTTTACCAAGGGCTGAGTGGAGGGCAGGGGGTTTGGGCTCTAGAGGGATTTGCATAGTGGGTGCCTCAGGCTTTGCTGGAATTTCATTTCTCATTTTCTAGAATATAGAAATTGCCCCCTTTGGGTAAAAATGGATATTAGTGGCGTTATGAGAAAGCCATTTCATGTTTCCTAAGACAGTCTCTTGTGAGCAACTGAAAGCTTAATTCTCAAGAAATAATTTCTAAATCCAAATGAAACTTGTAAAATGGAAGCACGAGGTTATTAGAAATCAAAAACGGGTCTGTGCAGCAGCATCAGTAATGACTTCTTTTCCCCGTTTATGTGACGTAATTAGGTATCCTCTCTTTGGGCTTTGTCTTTAAGGGATGTGTCAAACAAGGAAACAGTGATGCTTTGGCTCCAAAAGCAAAGAAAATCTAGCAGCTAAGTGTGAGCTTTCTGGATCAGTGCACTATGCAGCCTACACTTCCAGAATTGCAAAGCTTTTTCACAGTGAGAACCTCAACATAGGTTGATTTCAAAGAAAATCTCTCCACCTTCCCCCATGGCTGTATCACACAATGCCCACGTGTCTGGTTTTCCTCCTTTCAAAGGTAACCCAAACTGTTTTCTATATTGCATTTTTCCCTCACTGGACTGTTTGCCTCTCAGAACGAACTGAATCCTCCTCACTTCATTTTGATCCCCTGCTATAATTATTTTACTAATAAAACATGAGCAGTAGAAAACAGAAGTGCCATTTTCAAGATAAAATTTTAGTTTTGTTTTCATTTTAAGAACTTGTCCTCACAGCCTGAAAAACAGTCTAACAAGTGCCTGACATTGCCATGCTTGTAGCCCTCACTTGTTTGCTCCTGACAGCTTGTTGGGGGCAGTCAGGATGCTTCATAGAAGGGCTTTAGAATCAGATTATGGCAAGTCTCTTTATTTACCAGAATTGTGAGCTTGCTGTCTCTGCCCTCTGCCCATCCCTCACCCCATAATGCTCCAAGTGCCAGGTCCTTGGAATGAATAAATGAAGGAGTGCTTAAAAATACTTCATTGCGCTTTCTCCCACGTACCCACCATTGATTGGAGGCAGATGGTCTGCACGTTTGTTAGTAGAATAGAAAAGGACTGGCATCTCCTTATAAACCTGTTAAGTTGTCTTTATATAATGGCAGAGAAGACAATGGACCAGCAGGATTAATAGACAATGAGGGGTAGATTCTTAAACTTTTAAAGAGAATAACTCATTGTCTTAGTGCTTTGTTTTAAAAAGGTGGTCTCTCAACAGTGTTGATATTTACTTGTTTTTTTTTTCATTCATCCACTGATGTCTCACTTAGAGGAGCAGATCTACCGCTGTCTGCTGAACTGCCAGCTGGTGATTCTGGCAATCTTGGCAGCTGCTTTGGATTATAGACTCACTGAGCAAAGACTGCTTTGAAAATGGGATGAAGGGAATGAACTCCATTTTAGCAGCTGGACTTGATCCCTGTCAATCCCAGTCCCCTCTAGGATGGGTCCAGGCAAACCAAATGCTAAAGTCCATGAATGAAGTCTTTGGGGACAAAGGTGGAGACACTGTCCCCATGCTCCCTTGTAATTTAAAGGCGTCACTTAAATTGAGGAGAGTACTTGCTTCTGTTACATTTGATGAGGAGGGCCATCTGTCACTTGCTGTTTGTAATCTGGCACGGGCTTTTCTGTTGTGTCCTCCTGCCATCCCCGGTTCCCAGCATTGTGCT